TCTGCCCCCTGCCTCCTGCCAGTGGAGAGAGCCCCAAGCCGGGTAAGTCTGGGCACAGGTGTGGGCTGTGTGCACAGGCCCAGGTGGGGGGCTCTGAGCCTGTGGGCCTCCCCCAGCACACCTCCCCCAGCCTCTGTCTGTCCAGCTTCTGCCACCTTGAGGGTCACTGAGGGATGAGTGCTCACCYGTGGTCCTATTCCGTCCCCTCCTGATGGAGACGGTGTGAGCCAGCCCTCCACACTGTCACCCCAGCGACTCGGGAGGCTGAGGCGGGAGGAGGGCACGTCCAGGGCTGGCCGGGCACCTTAGCAAGCTTCTGTCTCAAAGCCAAATAGAAGGGGCTGGCCCAGCCCAGGGCCATCCCCAGACCAGAGGAAAAGGTCGCTGAGGCTCCAGAGGCGTGGGGCTGCGAGGGGTGAGGACTCCCTGCTCCATACTGTCCCCTGGAGGGTCTCCTGCAAGTGGCGAGTGTCAGATCCAGGGAATGTGACGCGGTGCCCAGGTGTGCGTGACCRCCCCGCTGTCTTGCGCCCACTGCAGTCTCCCAGTGGGCGCGTGAAAGAGTTAAACAGGCGATGTTAACAGGTGACGCTGACGTCCACTGACGTCCACCATATGTTTTATTTAACACACGAATCCCGGCGGTGGTCTCTCACCCTGTCTTCAAGGAGCTTCGGTGCCCACCTCTGGGTTTCTTCCCTCTGTGAGGCCTCCTGGGTCCCGGGGCTCTGCTCCCCAATGCCCTGGGCAGGCCATGGGCAGGCGTGGGCAGCCGTGGGCAGCCGTGGGCAGGCCGTGGGCTGGCCATGGGCAGGGCGTAGGAAGGCTGTGGGCAGGCGTGGGCAGGCCATGGGCTGGCCGTAGGCAGGGTGTGGGCAGCCGTGGGCAGGGCATGGGCAGGCTGTGGGCAGCCATGGACAGGCTGTGGACAGGCGTCGGCAGGCTGTGGGCAGCCGTGGGCAGGGTGTGGGCAGCCGTGGGCAGGCCGTGGGCTGGCCATGGGCAGGTGTGGGCAGGCGTGGGCAGGCCGTGGGCTGGCCATGGGCAGGCCGTGGGCTGGCCATGGGCAGGGCGTGGGCAGGCATGGGCAGGCCTGGCCCGTGGCACCGGCAGCCCGAGGTGTGCTGGACACAGCAGGGAGCCTGGAAACACCGCAGCCCCGGGACGGGGGCTGGAGAGACCCCGTGCAGTTCTGCTCCTGGTTTGTGTCCTTGGCACAATGTCCACGGGAGCAGCTGGCCCCTCGCTCATGCACCTGTGGACCTGGAGAGCCCTCAGGAGGCCCTCCACCCGCTGCCACAGGGGACGTCTTCACAGGGCCATCGTGGGTCCCCGGGGCATGTCCCTGGGAAGCCTTCCTGGTGGACGCTGGGAGCTCTGAGGAGCTGGGGGCCCAGGGCCTCCCTCTTTGTTTTATTCTGAGCCAGGGTCTCGCCGAGTTGCCCAGGCCAGCCTTGAACTTGATGTCCTGCCCCAGCCTCCTGGGTAGCTGGGATGACGGCCATGGCCACCCCGGGCCCACCAGGCGGCCTTGTTGGTTTTGGTGGTGGGTGGACACAGCAGCTTTGTCTACCTTCACGTGGTGCCGAGCGTCGAACCCAGGCCTCAGAGCCCAGCCCCGGGCCCCATGTGGCCTTGTAGGGACATCAGGCAGGGACTCGGCCCACCCTGGTCCAGCGTGAGCGCCTCTTGACCGATGCCCTCCATGACCAACGCCTTGTTTCCCCACGTGGACGCGCTGAGGTCTCACTGCACAGGAAACTTGGTGGGCACTGTCCAGCCTGCCGTGAGGACCTCGGAGCTGACCCTGGAGCCAGTGCTGGCCGCTGTGGACCTGTCTGCCTGGTGCTCACACAGCCACCTCGGGGAGCCAGGGACAGGGTGGTCCTGGGGGCCAAGGCTGAGGTCATGTCTGGGGACATGTGTGGCGTCACCACTGGGGGGGCTCCTGGCCTGGAGGGGGTAGAGGCCAGGGCTGCTGCTCAGCTCCCATGGGGCCCAGGACCACCCCAGAGGACAAGCTGGCGATGTCCGCGGTGCCGAGGGCCGTGCGCTGGGCGGCGTCTCCAGGGAGCTGAGAGGGCTCACAGCAGTGCTGTCCCCCGCTCCTCAGTGTGACGTCCTGCACCTCCCAGCAAGCCCAGGAAGCCATCTACGACGAGGAAACAGGCTCAGGAGGTTCAGTGGCTTGGCCACCATCACGCGGCTGGCGAGGCGCCACCAGCCCGGGCCCACGCGGGCCCTCTGCCCACGACATTGCGTCTTGCATCTTCCGCTTCAGTGACCCCTGTGTCCACCCTTCTGTCCTGTGGTGTCTGCTGGGTCTGTCTGCGTGGCGTGGCCGGGGCTCTACCACAGAGCCACGTCCAGGCCCACGCAGGCTGCCACCTTCGACAGAGTGCAGCCGTGCCAGGCCCTCGCGGGGCACGGGCCGCGCTGCAGATGTTGGAGGCCACCCGCCTGTGCTCTTGTGCATGTGGAGGCCCCGGGATGTGAGAGCTGCTGGGGGCCACCCAGGGTGACCCCAGTGGCACACACGGCCTGCCAGGGTCCCCGTCCCCACGCCGTGCCCGTCCGCGAGCTCAGCCCTGGAGGCCCGACTTTCCGACAGAAGCTCGAGCAGCAGGCCGGCCCCCGGCCGTAGCAGGAGACCCGGGAGAGTCCCTGACCCTCTCTCCCCCCCACAGACGGCGTCCTCCTCGCCCCCCGAGAGTCTGGTGGAGGAGGAGCGACCCAGCGGCCCTGGCGGCAGCGGGAAGCAGAGAACCGAGGACAAGGACCTGTTGGGACCTTATGTGAGTGGGGGCAGGCAGAGGACTAGGGTGGGCAGCACTGCCCAGATGGTGCCTAGCCAGGCCTCCGGGTGCCCGGCTCTGCCCACTGCCCTCACTCCACAGCCTTCCATAGCTCCCTGATGGTCACCGGACGGGGCCACTCAGGTCAGCCCCCGTGCTGCCAGCCCTGACCAGTGGCTCTGCCTCCRTAGCCTCTGGTCCATGCAGCCACGTCCCTACCCCTGGCACCTGCGCCTGCTCCCTAGAGTCCCCTCCTCGCCTTTGGGAAACCACTCTCCCCTTCGGACCTCGGGTGTCCTAGCGGCCTCCGCGGCCTCCCCGGGACCTGGGACCCTGCTGTGAGCTTGCCCAGACCCCTGGCCTCCAGCTCCCTGCCAGGGCCTCCAGCCTCCTCCCTCTGCGGGGCGCGGTCTGCTCCCCCACATCCCCTCCCCACGTCCCCGTCCCTGTTASGGCTCCTTGATTTAAAGAAGGAGGCAGCCGTGGGAGTGACTCAGTCACAGGGTGACGCCTGGCCCCAGGTGGCCCTGGGCCCGGGAGGTCAGAGGAGGCCCGGCTGCCAGCAGATCTGGCCTCCAGGCCACAGGCTGCACCTGGGGTCCTCCTGGGTGTCCACAAGTCGCCCAGCGGCAGCCCCGGGGGTCTGAGCCGCCCGCCCCCGTGTGCAGGACGGGGGAGATGTGGGCAGCCTGGGGCGGGCAGGGCCGGGCCAGGAGGGTGACACGGCTGGCCCCGCGGCCTGCCTGGAGAGAGCCGGGGAGGGGCACGGGCCTGAGGCCGAGAGACTGCGACGTCAGGGCGCTGCCACCTGCCCTCTGCCCTGGCATGTGGACCGGGTGGCCTAGACAGGGCCATCGCAGCTGGCGGGCCATCTTGGGAGAGCTCAGGGGCGTGGAGGCAGGGGCGTGACCAGAATGACTCCCCTCCCCCAGGAGAGCGACGAGGACAGGAGTGACTACAACCTGGTGGTGGACGAGGTGGGTCCTGGTCCCCTCTGTGGGATGGGGACAGAGCTCTCAGGTGGCGGCCACATGGCCCCGAGCCCGGGCTCCTGTGGTTTGGGAAGGGACGCCGCCTCCCTGGCCCCTTCTGTCTGTGGGAAAGGCAGGCGGCAACCCGCCTCGGTGACCCCGAGGCACAGGTGGTTTCGCGAGGTGCATGTGGACCCAGAGCAGTAGGGGGCTCCCACTTCACCTCAGCTTCTCCCCAACCCAGGACCAGCCCTCAGAGCCCCCCAGTCCAGCTACCACCCCCTGTGGAAAGGCACCCATCTGTGTCCCTGCCCGTCGGGATCTCGTGGACAGTCCGGCCTCCTTGGCCTCTAGTCTTGGCTCACCGCTCCCTAGACCCAAGGAGCTTGTCTTGGTAAGGGGGGGGCTTGAAACTCACTTTATTTGTCCTGGGGGGGGCCTGGAAACAGACATGGTACAATGAGAAATGAGCTGGGCTGATACCAACCGCTTCCTCATGATTCTTTTATCCCCCAATCTTTCCTGCAAAGATTCACTTTGTTGAGCCTCAGTAAATGTTAAAAAAGCAGCTTTGTAACTAAGCTTGGAAAATAAATATCTAGAACAACTCTGCACCTGACCTGGAAACCAGGTGTCYCTCAATAAACAGTACCTCCCACAGAGGTAGGTGCAGGGAAAGGGCCCGCGAAGGACGGGCGGCTAGCTGGGCTGGTCAGAGCGCCAGGGTCCTCGGAGGCCTTCAGAGCCCACCAGCCCCAACCCGAGGTGTCCCCCGAGGAGACAGCCCTAAGGAACAGCTGTCCCACAGGGCTCCCCGACGGGCTGCGGGGCCGTCCAAGGCCCACCCCCGCCCCACGTCCTCCCAGACCCCTGGCCTGCACTTGCTCAGGGAGATGTCGGTTTCTAGGCCTCCCTCCCAGCAGGTTGCCATGGCTACCGCCAGAGGTTGGGGCCTGTCCATGTCGAGTGCCCTCTCCCTCCCTGCAGGGAGACCTCTGGGGATGCGCAGAGCTCAGCTCTGCAGGGACGCCCCACCCCAGCAGGTCCCTGGGCCCCACCCTGTCCCAGCCGCCAGGGCCTGGCCCTGGCCGGGAAGGCCGCCAGGTGCTTCACCAGACCACAGCCTCCAAGGCCGAGGGGACCCCGGAGCCCTCGGGGCCTGGCTGCGGGAGACGCCCTCCTGAGCCAGGAGGAGGCCGYGGCAAGCGCCAGCCTCTGGGTGCTGCCCAACTGTCCTCTGGGGCCGCCTGCGGCTCCGGGTGCCCTGCTGTGGCTCTGCCCGCCACCCCATCCTCCCGTGTCCCTTACTAGCTCCGCTCACGTGTCCCTCGCGCCCAGCTCCCAGAATGGAGGTGGAGGTGGCCTCCGTGGACAGGCACGTGGGCTGTGGCAGACCCCGGGTGCCCACCGCCCAGCTATGCTGGGCCTTGGGGACATGTGCAGACAGTCCTCGGCCCTGGTGGCCCTGGGCCTCCTGCCCCGTTCCCGACGGGATCAGCCTGCTCCTCTCTGCAGAACGACCTGCCGGCGGGCACCCCTGCCTCCAAGTCCTGCGACTCCTCCCCGCCCCAGGACGCACCCACCCCAGGGCCCAGCTCCGCCAGTCACCTCGGCCCACTGGCCGCCAAGCCCGTGCCGGCCACAGACAGCATCGGTGAGTGCCACCTCGTGCCTGCCAGGCGGGGCCTCTTGGGGGTTTCCAGGAACGGGGGAGTCGGGGCCTGGGTTCCGGCCCCAGAGCGCCCGCGTGGCCCTCTTGCACCTGGGCCACCTTCCCCCTCCGCTGGGCACGTGGGAAACCCAGGCCCGGCCAGCCGAGGGGCCCTGGGCCCAGCCTAGTGCGCAAAAGACGAGTGTTTGAGTCAGGCTGGGGTCCAGGCCCGGGAGGCAGTTACCAGCTCTGTGACCTTGGACACGTGACCACCCTCTGAGCCGGTCTGTTACCAGTGATGCCAGGAGTGGCAGTGCCAGGCCGGTTCTGGGGCTCCTGAAGACCTGGGCCTCCGGGTGGGACGGGAGATGACCCGGAACCCAGATCCCAGCCCTGAATGGCCAGGGTAGGAGGAGGGGCTCAGGAGGGACAAGGACTGGGGGTGGGTGGGGGGTGAGTGGGCCCTGCATCTCAGTTTCGGAGGACGAGCAGGAGCCCACCAGCACAGGGACAGGCACGGGCCCGCCACACACAGAGCCACAGCCGGGGTCGGCACCTGTCCCCGGGTACGGCCAGCGGTCATCCGGGGCTCGGAAACCCCAAGGGCCGTGGAGGAGGACGGGCGGGTGTTGAAGACCTGTCCTTCTCGCCCAGCCCTGAGGAGCCCCCTGGCCCTGTCCAGCCCCTTCACCACGTCCTTCAGCCTGGGCTCCCACAGCGCCCTCAACGGGGACCTCTCCTTGCCCAGCTCCTACGTCAGCCTCCACCTGTCCCCCCAGGTCAGCAGCTCCGTGGTGTATGGACGCTCCCCCATGGTGAGTCTGTGGGCCGGGGGAGAGGCAGGCGTGGCCGAGGGCTGGGCCCGGGCTGGGCAGGTGTGGGTGGCCCCAGGGTCTGGGAGCCGCAGGCCCAACCCAGCTCAGACCCGAGGTGTGGGGAACAGCGGCTGGGGGCCAACTCGCTCAGGGGCAGGGTTCCCAGGAACAGGCCTCGGGGGCCTGCAGGGTCTGCGCAGCCGCGGGTGGGCGACTGGAGGACCCTCCGGCCCTGGCTTCAGGGTCCCTGGATGGACTGGGGGCCTCTCAAGTAAACACCCGAGGTCCCCGTCTCGAGAGGAGCAGGCACTTCTGCCCTCGGGTCGGGGCTGAAACCAGATGCAGGGTCCATGGATAAACAGGGCATGGCCGGCGGGCATGGCAGAGGGCGGAGCGGGCAGAGACRCTGGCCCTGGGGGACCTTCTCTGGCCTCTGACAGATGGCATTCGAGTCCCACCCCCATCTCCGAGGGTCTTCCATCTCATCCTCCCTGCCCAGCATCCCTGGGGGAAAGCCGTGAGTACCGGGCCGGGGTCCCCAGGGCGGGGTCTCCTGTGCCCTTGTGGGGGTCTCTTTAGGACGACCAGTTCCCAGCAGGGCTCCTGGAGCACAGCAGTGATGGTCCACAGGGGGGCTCTGCCCCAGGGGACCCTTGGCCACACCAGGGGACATCTGTGGTTGTCATGGCTGGGGCAGAGGGATCGGCTGGCACTGGGTGGTGGAGCCAGGGACACCGTTCCTCAGCACCCTGCCTCAGAGAAGGAGTGCTCCGGGCCTCTGTTGTCCCAGCCAGTCACGTGGTTTCCGAGCCCCTGAAATCAGGCCAGGCCTGTCATCCTAGCCAGTGTGGAGGCTGAGGCAGGAGGATGGCAAGTGAGAGGCCAGACTCTGCCAACTAGCAAGACCCTGTCTCAAAAGATACAAGGGCTGGGGTGGTAGCTCAGTGGTGGGGCACCCCCGAGGGACCAAGCTGGGTTCATCTGAGCCAACTGGCCCCAGGTAGCTGGGCCTTTCCATGGATCCTGGTTTAGAGGCGCTGGCTTGCTGTGCAGACCGGGCCAGGTCCTTACTGTCCTGGCCAGCCCCCCATCACTAGGACCCGGTCCTCCCCTTTCTCTCATGCATCAGAGGGTACCAGGCAGAAGGTGACTCCCTGGGCAGTGAGGAGCAGAGGGCCTGTCCCGGGTGGTCACGGCCACCTCCCACGCAGGGCCTACTCCTTCCACGTGTCTGCGGACGGGCAGATGCAGCCTGTGCCCTTCCCCTCGGACGCACTGGTGGGCACGGGCATCCCGCGGCACGCGCGGCAGCTGCACACGCTGGCGCACGGCGAGGTGGTGTGCGCAGTCACCATCAGCGGCTCCACGCAGCACGTGTACACGGGCGGCAAGGGCTGCGTGAAGGTGTGGGACGTGGGCCAGCCGGGCGCCAAGACGCCGGTGGCCCAGCTCGACTGCCTGGTGAGGGCGGGGCCTGAGCCGGGGGCGGGGCCTGAGCCGGGGGGCGGGGCCGAGGCCACCTCAAAGCCAACCAGGGAGGGGCTTGCAGCGCCGAGGGGCGGGCTTGCGGGCCAATGGGCGGGGCTAACCCTCGGCTAGGGAGTCGGAGGTGTGGCCGGGTCTGGTGACCAGCTTTCGCTCCCCTCCTGGCTGGCCCCAGAACCGGGACAACTACATTCGTTCCTGCAAGCTGCTGCCTGATGGCCGGAGTCTAATCGTGGGTGGCGAAGCCAGCACTTTGTCCATTTGGGACCTGGCGGCGCCCACCCCCCGCATCAAGGCCGAGCTGACCTCCTCCGCCCCGGCCTGCTACGCCCTGGCGGTCAGCCCCGACGCCAAGGTCTGCTTCTCCTGCTGCAGCGACGGCAACATCGTGGTGTGGGATCTGCAGAACCAGACCATGGTCAGGTGGGTGCCTTCCCTCCCTGGGCACCAGGTGGGTGGGCTGGAGACACCCAGGCTCCCGGACAGACGCCTGGGCCCTGCTCCCTGCAGGCAGTTCCAGGGCCACACCGATGGTGCCAGCTGCATCGACATCTCCGACTACGGCACTCGGCTGTGGACTGGCGGCCTGGACAACACGGTGCGCTGCTGGGACTTGCGGGAGGGGCGACAGCTGCAGCAGCACGACTTCAGCTCTCAGGTGGGCTGGCTGAGGTCTGGGGCAGGGGTGAGAGTTGCAGGAATCTTGCCTCTTTTCCTGTCCTCAGTGGGTGGCCCAATTCCAGGCTCAGGCTGGGATTATCTGAGTCCTACTTTCTGGTCCTCCAGACCAATCCACAGGCCATCACCTTTAATTCTCAAACACAGGGTAACACAAAAGGCCTGATTCATATTAAGCTATGGGGCCACTGAGATCCTCAGATCATCTTCCCATGTGTTCTTGTCCATCCATTCCCATCTTCTCATCTCTGTCTGTATAGCTGGTTTCTCTTCCCAGCTTTCAACCTCTGGACTCCCCAGAGGGCTCCTGACAGCTCCCCTCTCCACTGAGGACTCATCCTGGGAGCCACTGACCTGAGGGGACAGGTGGAGGCTGATGTGGGACAGAAGCTGGGCTTGGAGAGGTCCCTGTGCAGGGTGCTGTGGGAGTCAAGGCTGAAGGATGGCAGAGAGGGGGAGCAGGAGGACATAGGTGTCTCAGGACTGAGCCAGGAATGTGTCTTCAGGCACCGAGTGGCCAGGCGGGCATCTGAAACCCTCGGTCTTCTCTTGTAATTCCCGTGTCCCTCCTGCTGGAAGGCTGAGGAGGCTGGGGTGGAGCTGGCCTGGTGGCTCCTGGTGCCCAAGACAGGCTCTGTGCAGAGCAGTGGGAACGTGTCCTTTTGGGTCAAAACAAGGAGCGCACCTTGGGGGGGGGGGCAGAGGCCACGCTGGATCTCAGGAGCCCTGGCTTCCAGGCTTGGTCTGACCTTGAGCCTCCATTTCCTCTGCTCAAGGGGAGCTGCTCAATGGGAGGCTCCTGGGCTGGCCTCCTCCCCTGCCTCCCCCACCACGGGGCCCCCAGACCTGTCGTGTAGACAATGGATGTGCGGGGGGGGGGGGGGGGGGGGGGGGGGGGGTGTGCCCTGCCTCTCCTCTCCGCAGGGCCAACAGGGACCTGGGGCTYGCYGGCCTCTGAGGCCCCGGGGTCCCTCTCTTCCCTCCTCCCCCAGATCTTCTCCCTGGGCCACTGCCCCAACCAGGACTGGCTGGCCGTGGGCATGGAGAGCAGCGGCGTGGAGGTCCTGCACGTGCGCAAGCCCGAGAAGTACCAGCTGCACCTGCACGAGAGCTGYGTGCTGTCGCTCAAGTTCGCCTCCTGCGGTGCGCGCCCACAGGGCGTCCCCAGGCCAGGCAGGAGGGTCGCCAGCTCGGGCCATCTAGGGAGATCTGGCCTCAATATTTAAAAAGTGGGGGTGGCTGGAGATGTAGGTGGTGAGGAGCCCCGSGGTTCAATCCGGCACCCCGACCTCCGCCAATCCCAGTCGAGGGGCGCAGGCCGACGCCCTGCTCCAGCCCTGGGGCTCCGCCCTCTCGGGGCCTCGGCTCAGCTCTCTGCCCTCCTCCGCAGGGCGCTGGTTCGTGAGCACCGGGAAGGACAACCTGCTCAACGCCTGGAGGACGCCCTACGGAGCCAGCATCTTCCAGGCACGGCCGGGGGCTGTGGGCGGGGCGGTGGGCGGGCGGTGGGCGGGGCGCCCGGCCCTGGAGTTTCAGCCGTGCCCAGACCTCAGCCTGACTCCAGCCCAGCGGCGGTCAGGGGCGGGCACCCGCTGGCACTGTCCCCACCCCACCCCCACGGCTCTGGTCCCCAGCTGAGGCTCATGGACGCCAGGAACCTCCTGGGGGGTGACCCTGCAGCATGTCCGTCGGTCTGTCGGGCGTCCTGCAGTGTCCTCATGTCCATGCGCAGGCAGAGGCGTGGGAGCCCTCCTTTGCGTGGTGGAGATCTCCCGCGTGTGTGCGGGCCTCCCTGTGTCCACCCTGAGGCTGCCCCAGAGTCCCCACCACCCCGACCCTTGTCTCTTGGGCTCATCCCGATGGCTGGGGAGTGACTTTTACATTTTTAAAGGATCATAAAAATATGATAGGAGATTGGGCCGGAGACTTACTTGGACTTTAGGCAAAGCCTAAAGAGTATTTTCCCGCAGGCCCCTGGCAGTTTGCTGACCCTTGGACTTGGTCATTGTGCTGGGAGCCTGGGTCCTCTGCTGAGCTGTGTGACTGCATGCTCCTGCACACCCTCTCTGAGCTTCCCAGGAGAGACAGCCCTGCAGTCTCTCCTCTCCTGAGGGGAGCCCGGAGGCTGTGCCCTGCCCTTCCCAAGGGCACATGCCTGTCCAGCAGGGCTCAGCCCCAAAGCATGCAGCTTCTCCCCTTGGGCTGCATCAGGGCAGAGCCCCAGGCTAGTCAGGGCACCGCCAGGCTGGAGACACCCTCGGACCGCGCCAAAGCCCTGTGGCGGTATTGGGGTGAAAACCAGGGTGGCTGCACGCCCCTGTGGGCCCGTCTGCTGAGCTGAGCCATCCTCGGCCAGGGCCACACCTCTCTAGAAAGCCTGCTGTCCCCTTCCCAGCCAGGATGTCCCGGCCTGATGGTGCCCGGGGCCCACCTCACTCTCCCTTCTCCCATCTCCAGTCCAAGGAGTCATCCTCTGTGCTGAGCTGTGACATCTCCAGGAACAACAAGTACATCGTGACCGGCTCGGGGGACAAGAAGGCCACCGTGTACGAGGTGGTCTACTAAGGACCTGGGGGGCCCCCTCCGCTGGCTGCAGGCCACCTTCTTCCCCGCTGGGGACGTGGGGGTCGGGCTTGGGGAAATAAAGGTTTTCATCCCTGGGCCTTGTCTGCTTTCCTCCCCCGGGCCTCAGGGAGCCCACTGCTGGCCCCAGGGCTCTGTCATGCAGGTGGGCGGAGGCCATGGCAGGAGGACCAGGGAGGCTGGAGCTGGGAGGCTGAGGAATGAGCTCCTGTCGGGGCTCTGCTCCCCGTCCCTGTCCCAGGGGATGTCAGGTAGAGGGAGGAGCTGCCTGCGCCTTCAGAGCTGTGGCCGGAGGCTCGGTGTCACCACCCCAGGCCCCTGTCCTGTGTCACCAGCCCCGACTTACCACGACCAAGAACCAGAGACAGTCAGCTCAAAGAGGAGAGGTTTATTCTGGCTCATGGATCTGGACATTTCAGCCTGTGGTCAGCTGGCCCCATGGCCTCTGGCTGGGGGCAGCACATCCTGGTGGCGGGAACACGTTGCAGGAAGCCTCTCAGCTCACGCTGACCACAAAGCCAAGAGGAGGAGCCAGTGGCCCTAATGTTCCCTTCAAGGGCACGCCCCAATGACCTCAGAGGCCCGTGACGCCCCACCTTTTTCCCTGGGGCTGAAGATGAAACTCGGGGCATCGCCCACTCTACCCTGAGCCCTTTAATTTTGAGACGGTGCCCAGCTAAGTTGTCCAGGCGGGCCTCAAACTTGCAATCCTTCCGTCTCAGCCTCCCAAGCTGCTGGGATCCCAGGAGTGGCCAGTGCCCCAGCCAGACTGTACCACCTCTCGACAGTGGCCAGCTTGGGACCAGGCCTTGGGTGTCCCACACAGGCCCGTGTAGAGCAAGCTCACTTCTCTTACTACCACAGAAGAGCTGGGGTGGGGTCATCTATAAAGAAGGGAGGTTTCTTTGGCCGTTTTGGAGATGGGAGTCCAGGTGGCGCGTGCTGCTCCGAGGCCCTGTGGGCTGTATCGCCTCACCGCAGCGGCCCTGGCGGACACACACCTGAGGGTGGCATTTTGTGGGGGATCGGGAGCCAGAGAACAATCCAGAGGTCCAAAGGGAGCCACTCCAACCCCCACCCCGGCCTCTGGTGACCCGTTTCCCCGTGTGCACCCCTCCTCAGGGCCCCCCCCTCACAGTGCCACATGGGGGCCGAGCCCCAGTGACACAAGCCACACAGGGACTGCTCGGGGGGGCCTACGCCTCCCAGAGCCCCGGGATCCTGGGCGCCCAGCAGGTGACAGCAGGAGTGACAGGTCGGAGCAGATGGCACTGGAGCATTCTGGGGGCTGCTGGAGACCTCGTGGGGCACAGCGACGTCACGGGCCGAGGGAACAGACCCCAGACAGGCCCCTCCCAGCCCGGGGAGGGCCCCGTGCACTCGTTCCACCAGGGCACTCAGGGTGGTGCCCGGCCGCCTCCGAGTCCCAACAGCCACACTCCCCAGGAGACATCAGTACCCCCCGGGGCAGATGGCCCTGTCTGAGAGCCTCCGTCTCCTGGGACCTGTCCTGGGACCTGTCCTGGGACCTGCCAGAGGCAGCTGGAAACCGTTTTGGAGCTGGGAGGCCGGGCTGCGAGGCCGGGCTGGCTCAGCGCAGGAGGGACCAGAGTCCCTGCTCCCACGGTGCCTGGACAGGGGCTGCACAGATCCCCCAGGTCTCGGTGACGCTGTGGGCACAGGGTGGGAGCCCTCGCTCCCGGGGACGGGACGTGAACGTCTTTCCAGCTGCTTTATTCTGTGCAGGGAGGACCTGGGTCTGCGAGCCCCAGGCCCGGCCCCACCCACCACCACCACCACCACCACCACCACCACCACCACCACGGGGAACAGAAACGGGAACAGAAACGGGAACAGGAGCCCGCGCCGGGGGACCGCGAGGCCCTCAGTAGGTGACGAGGTACACCGAGGCCTGGGTCCCAGACCCCACCACGACCAGCCGGTTGTCAGCAGACACGTCACAGCACAGGACACAGGAGGGCTCGGGCACCTGGGGGGAGGCCAGCTGAGTGCCGGGCCCACTGCCCCAGGCCCTGCCTGGTAGGTCAGCTCGGTCCCTCTTGGATCCCCCAGGTGCCCAGTGGACCCCCCCCCCCCGCCACCGCGTACCTGGAACACCAGGGCCCCCGTGGGCATGCTGTGGACGCTGACCAGGTTGTCCATCCCCACGCTCACCCACCACTGGCCTGGGAGGAAGCAGGGGCGCGGGTCACGGTGGGACAGCAACAGGGCAAGCGGGACCCGGGGGGGCTCTGCCAGACGCAGGGCCGGAGAGCCAGAGCGGCCGGCCGGGGGCCTGTGTCACGGGAGGCCGGGGGCAGCCTCGCTGGCTGGCTGCTCACCGTAGGGGGAGAACTTGAGTCCGAGGATAGCGCTGTCCTTGCCGCCCACCCTGCGTGACTGGTGGCGGGTGCAGTGCTGTAGCCAGTGCTGGCCGTTGGCCAGGCCCAGCAGCAGCCAGTCCTCCTGGGGTCTGAGGGACAGGCTCATGATCTGGGGGTGGCAGGAGGCAGCCCTGTCAGTCCAGCCTGGCCCCGGCCCCCCACAGCTGCCCAGGCGGGGCCCTCGGCAGGGTCCCCAGACCCAGTGCCCTGCTCTAGGGCTCCGAGGCAGGACAGGCCCAGCCTGGGCACTGAGAGGTGGGCACTCCGCAGAGCTGCGCCCCTGGCCCTTGGTGAGACCGAGTTGCCCAGGCTGGCCTTGAACTTGCTGTCCTCCTGCCTCGGCCTCCCGAGTGATTGTCCCCACCTGGACAACACTCCTGACCACCCGAGTCCTGGCGTGGCACTTGGAATCACCTGGACAAGTACCCTCCCCCCGCGGGGGCGGGGCCGAGTGGCAGGGCGCTTGCCTTGCCCGTGTGAGGCCCTGGGTTCGAGTCTCAGCACCACGGAGAAGTGAGTAAAATACAGGAGCTGGGTCCAGCTACCACGAAACCCCAGCCCCCTCCCCCGCCGCCAGCGTCCACCACCTTCTAAGCCCAGGACGGCGACGCCGCCAGGAGCCGCCCCGAGTGCTACCTGGGACTTGAACAGGAACACCGAGGGGTCCCGCAGGGTCCTCAGGTCCCACTGGCACAGCTGGCCGTCCAGGCCCCCCGTCCAGACGTCGTTGTCTTTGACCACGATGCTCTTGGCTCCGTTCAGCTGGCCCAAAATGTCCCTGTGGGAAGGGTCAGGCCGGGCTCGGGCTCCTGTCCCAGGGGATGCTGCAGCCTTTCTCAGTCACTCCTCTGATACGCTCTGGGCACGGACGGGCAGTGCCACCCGAGTGCCCCTCCACACTGCAGCTGAAGAGGGGACACAAGACGCAGCGGTCCCTGCGCTGTCACCCTGGTTCTGACGGGCTGCGGCACCCCTCACGGAGCCGCCGTGAGTGCTGGCCCAGAGGCCGCAGGCGGGTGGGCCCGCCGTGCGGGCAGCTGTGAGAGGCTCCACAGAGGCCGCGCCACAGGCTGGTGCGGCACCTGGTCCACCCAGGCTGGCACAAGCCGCCACCACGCTGCTGAGGAAGCGTTTCTCAGAACGACCCTGGTGACACAGGACTGTCGGCTCACTGTTCAATTTCACCCTTTAGGACTCTCTGCAGCCAGGGCCGGGTGCACACCTGGGATCCTAGCAACACGGGAGGCTGAGGCAGGAGGATTGCTATAGGAGGCCAGCCTCAGCAACTTGGTGAGGCCCTAAATAATGTAGTGAGATAATGTCTCAAAAAATGAGAAGCTGGGGTGTGGCTCAGTAGTAGAGCTCCTCTGGGTTCAGTCCCCAGCACAAAAAAGGACCCTCTGAGTCTGGACTGTCACACCTGGTTCCAGTGGGGAAAGGGAAAAGCAGGGCAGTGGGGCTGTAGGCCAGCAGAGGCCGGCTCAGATCCGAGCTCAAGGAGGCTGGGACGGGGCTGGGACGGGGCTTGGCGGAGATGGGGGGCTTGGCGGAGATGGGGGGCTTGCTGGAGGCGCTCCGTGGGAGGCGGGGGGGGAGGCGCTCCGTGGGAGGCGGGGGGGCGAGGCGCTCCGTGGGAGGCTGGACGCAGGCCCCTTCCCACCCTGGGGCCACACCTGACCACGTGGGGGGCCCGCAGGTCCCAGATCCTGACAGAGCCATCGGTGAAGCCCGCGAAGACCAAGCTCTCATCCGCTTTGGCGGCCAGGGCCTGGCAGGCGGCCTCTTGACAGGGCAGCTCCCCCTTCACGCGCAGGGAGGGCGCGGCCAGGTCCCACACGCAGACGCTGCCCAGGTTGTGGCCTCCGGTGAGCAGCGTCCTGCTGTTGGAGGACAGCAGGCAGGTGCACAGGTAGGCGTCCGGGGCCTGGGGACAGTCAGAGCCGTCAGCCCCGGCAGGCAGCCGGCCAGCACCCAGGGCCCCCGGGCGGCCCTCACCTGCTTGTGCACGGGCAGGTGGCTGTCGGGGAACCTGTCCTCGGCCACCTGGCCGACCAGGCTCCACACCTTGACGCCGCCCCTGCTGCAGGTGAAGGCGTGCCTCGTGAAGCTGCTGACCGCCAGGGCCAGCACGGGCTCCCCGTGGCGCAGCAGGCGCATCCTCTGCAGCGTGTGCGGGAGCGCGAAGCGCCTGCTCTGCCGGGGCGGGGCGTCCGGCCGCCTCCAGGAGTCTCCAGAGTCCGCGGGGTCCCAGGATCTTGGGAGGAGCCTCGGGTGACCTGCCTGCCCGCGGCAGCTCCGCCCAGGTGGCCACCGGGTCTCACTCCCCGGCTCTACGCCCGACACCGGCCCACTGCCCTGCGAGCGCGTCCCACCGTCCCAACTGCCCCTGCTGCCTGCAGCTCCCGGCCCCACGTCGGGCTCCTGTTCCTCCCCAGGCCCCAAGTCGCATGCCCCTGCCTGCGGGCCACCCAGGACCGGGCCACCTGCACCCAGGCTGAGCAGCCCGCCCTGCCCAGGACTGCCCGGCCACACCAGGAACAGGCAGTGACGTCTGTGCAGACGCCGCACACGTTTCCCCCCCCCCCCCCCCAGAGTGGAGCCCCTCCCCCTCCCACTGGGGAGGTCCGGAGGGACGGCGCCCCACCTGTTCCCGCAGCGTGGCACTTACATGAGCTTCAGAAGGGGGTAGGCTCCCGCAGCAGGCTCCTGCGGGGGACGAGAGCTCACTGTCCCCTGCCCTCCCACAGCCTGGGTGGGCAGGGGCAGCCGGCCTGGTGCTCACCTGGGCCAGCTCGGCCAGCGCCGCCTCTTCCCCGCAGTCTTCCAGGGGGCTGAGAGGGGACGTGGCCCGGGTGGGAGCCAGCCAGAGGGAGGGCACGGCGCACCTGGCGCACCTGGACAGGCAGGCGCCCTGCACCCCAGCCAGCGCCTCCTGCCCGCTGCCCACGGGGTCAGTGCTGGCTGCAGTCTCCGTGTCAGGTGGCTCTAGGCCCTTGCTGTCCTGCCCGGGGGACATGGGAGAGCTGAGCCGAGCCCCAGGGATGCCCAGGCTCCTCGCGGGGCCCGTCCACGGCCGGGGTGGGGGCCCATCCCAGAGGTGCACGGCTGCAGACACCCAGTGGCTCCAATACCACCCTCTGGTCCCTCCGGGGTCCTGGCAGGTGGGAGGGGAGGTGGACTGACCAGAGCCAGGCCGCTGTCCCCACCACGTGCGTTTACTCACCAGGCCCCGGGCCTGCTCGGTCACTATGACAAGAAAGGGGAAGAGGGAGAGATGGCTGCGGGCTCTGCCGGCCCTGGACACCGCCAGCCGCCCCCAGGACACTCACCTCGGCGGCAGGGCTGAGCGGCCTTCTCCTGGACATCAGCAAAGATCTGCCAAAGCTGCGAGGTGAGGACGTCCTGCCAGAACGGGGGCTCCGGGTCCCACAATGGTGGCATCTCACCCTCGTCCCAGTCGGACTGGGCCGGCCGCAGCCAGTCGGACTGCCTTCCCGTGACCACGTCTTCGAAGTCCGACTCCTGTGGGCTCCCGCCCTCTGGGAGCTGGGGGGAGCTGGGGCTCAGGGCCTCCTGGTGGCCCTGGCCGGCGCGTTTCCCAGGGGAGAGTCGGCCCACCTGGGGCCACACGTATGGGGGCGTGAGACGGGGCCACCCCTGAGCCCAAGCCGTCCCTCCCTCCTGCAGGACCTGAGACCCACCTCCACGGGCTGGCCGTCCACCGCCTGGAGGAAGGCTTCCACCTGCGGGAGGACGACAGGACCCTGCACCCGCCAGCCAGCACCCGCGGGACCGGAGCGTGACCCTCGAGAGGCAGGTTGGGGGACCAGGAACGGGGCCTGGCGTCAAGCAGGCTTTGGACACCTGTGACCCAGCTGTCCTCAAGGCCAGGCGGGGTCAGACCTGGGGGTGAGCCCCCCAGGACAGAAGAGCCTGACATCATCCCGAGCACATGGCCCCTTGTCCCCGACTCCAAGGTGACAGGCACCCCACAGCCATGCAGTGAGGCCACTGGGCCGTGCGCACAGGTCCTGGGCCACTTGGCCGGGGCCCGAGTGCCCGAGAATGGTGTGGCCCACTCCCCACGGACCCGGCGGACCTGCTCAGTGGCTCTGGGGTGGCCTGTCCTGAGGGAAGGCCAGTCCCCAGGGGCTGGGCCACCCCTGGCCCCACGTGCAGGTCCTCCTGCCACTCACATGTGGCTAAGAGGACAGCTGAGGTCGGGAGGCTGGGGCTGTCCCCAGTCAGGAGAAAGGGACGGGCGGCGGGAGGCTGGGACCCTCCACAGCCCTCGCCTGGCAGCTGCCCCGGGCAGCGGAGATGGACTCCCTGGCTGGGCCTCCGCAGAGCCCTGGGGAGCCCTCTGAGGCTCACCCGCTGGTTAACGCCATCACAGGCGCCCTAAGGCCCTCCCGCTGCGGCCTCCCGGGGCTGCCCGAGCCCCACTCCACAGGAGGCCAGGCAGGAGGCCAGGCAGGAGTCCGGGAGGGGCAGAATCAGCTGGGCTCTCTGGGGTCACCCCCACCCTGGACCTCCGCAGCCGCTGCAGGGCCTCCCCCAGGCACCCACATCCCACTAAACCCCTGGACATCCAGCTTCTGCCCTGGCGCCCTGGCCCCAGCCTGGCCTCCTGCAGCAGCCAGAGGGTGCCCGCCAGCAGGGCCGGGCTCCCACTCCCACGTGCTGCGCCCACCTGCCAGGCTCGGGGGCTGCGCTCTGCCTGGAGCACCTTCCCAGCCAGCCTGCCTCCCTGTCACCCTGGAGCCCAGCCCAGGCCCGTCCTGCACCCCCAGCTGCTGCCCCCGTCCCCGTGCCCTGCCCGGCCTCCCCTGGCCAGCAGTGATGCCCCTCCTGGTGCCTGATCATCTCTGGGAGCGGGGGATGGATGACGTCCGTGAATAACCACGTTCTGCGGCTTCCTGTGCCCCCCACATGCCCAGCCCTGGCCCACTGCCAGGCACATCTGGCACCAGCAGAGTCCTGCTGGCCCCCAGGAGGAAGGGGCCAGGTGGCCGGGCAGGCTGATGGAGGCCCTGCACTGGCTGGCCAGGCCCCAGACACACAGGAGACCCAACCTGGGGTCTGGCCTGCCCAGGTGGCCAGGGCTGCACGGGGACCCGGGAGCAGGCCACGAAGGACCGGCCAGCCCATGTCCTGGAAGCAGCTCAGGTGGGGTGGGACCTGGGGGTCTCCAGATGTGGGGGAACCCCCTCGTCTCAAGGGGACCATGTGACCCAAGTCAGGGGGCACCTCCCCTGCCCCCAGCCCTCCACAGCTCCCACGGCCCCAGGGCCAAGCCCAGGCCCTCGCTGAGGTCCACAGGCCCTGTCCCACCCACCTCAGCCCTCCCTGCTCTGCCTCCCACTCCTGCCCTTTCAAAGCGGGGCAGTGACATCCGGATTCCCGAGTCCCACTCACCTGCCTGTGGTGTTCTTGAAGATCCTGCTGGACTTCAGTGAGCTGCAAAGAGCAGGAACCACACTGGCAGAGGGCGCATGGGAGCAGGCGACACTTGGGTTTGAATGCTGTGTGACCTGGGCAACCTGCTCTACCTCTCTGGTTCTTACCCTTAAATGGCACAGCATCTACCACACTGATGGCTACTGGAGGAATTCTGGATTTCATTCCCCGCGACCTGAAGATCACCTCCTCCCCACAGCCCAGGCCTGCTCCATCGGCCCATGCTCTTCGCTCTGCCTGCTCAGCCAGGTGTGGGAGCCCCAGGGCCTTTGCAGGACACCCTTCCCTCTACACTCCAGAATAACCGCTTTTGTGGGGTGTGGGGATGCTCAGGATTGAACTTGCCATCCTCCTGCCTCAGCCTCCACAGCAGCTGGGTGGAGGGTGTGGCCCCTGCACCCAGCTGAACTCTCCTCTTGGCCATTTTCCCTCCTGAGCATGGGTGCTGCCGCGGAGCCCAGGTGCCGGGCAGCACTCCACCGAGCTACCCCCAGCCCCAGGAGCCCTTCCTGACCGCCTGGCCTCAGAAGGACCCCCTGCAGATTCCCTGGGCAGCTGGACTGCCCCATGGTGTGTCACCTCCTCTATGGCCCCTCATCCACGGGGACAGCCACTGGTCCAGTGTGGCCACAGAGGCCAAGTCAAACTGAAAGGAAGATTCTGCTCCCCAGGTGCACCAGCTGCATTTAAGGGCTTAGGGGCTGGCGGGGGCTGGGGATGCAGAACATTCCGGAAGCTCTAGCAGCAGCACCCCTGAGCCGAGGAGGGCTCCTGGTACTGCATCCTGACCCCCCCACTGGGGCCGGAGCCCGACACTAACAGCCAGGTAGCCCCCAGGTCCAGCACCGTGTCACTTTAGAAGCTCCCACTGACAGCCGGGGGCCCAAGTGAGCAAGGCCCCCCCCCCAGTGTCCCCAAGGCAAGCAGCTGAGCTGGGTGTGGCCGGTCCAGGAGGAGGCAGGTGGGCGGGGCAGCTCTGCTCACCAGGTGGATGATGCTCTCCAGCTGGGTGCTCACTCGAAGCTGCAGCCTGGGGGGAGGGGCACTGCTGGACACACCCAGACCCCTCCTCAGCCTGGGGGCAGGACCCGCCTCTCCCCCCAGCCAACCCCAAGCTGCAGGGAGAAGCCCTGTCCAAGGAACTCTGCTGCCGAGCCCCGGCCCACACTGCCTCCCGCGAGAGGTCCACGCAGTACTGCCCCAAACCCAGCGACTGGGCCGAGGGTCATAAACACAAAGCCAGCCTCAACTTAGTGAGACCCTATCTCAAAATAAAAAAAGGGCTGGGGAGGTGGCTCAGGGGCAGAGCCACCCTGAGCTCAATCCCTGGTATCAAAAAAAAAAAAAATCAGAAAAATGCACATTTCTAATGAAGGTCAGTGGTTACTCACACGCCCCGCAGCGTTGAGGCCAAGGACTGCTAGACCACTCAACAGGGCCACAGGGCAGGGGTTGGGGGGTGGACCGTGGACGACTCCCCCAGAGTGACCCTCACCTGGGGAGCTGGTCCTTGAGCTGGCCCAGGGTCTGGGCACCACTTAGGGTGGGCGGGCTCTCAGGGTCAGAAATTCCTGGGCCAGGCTGGAAAAACCCCAGGAGGGGTGAATAAAGGCAGCAGCCCCTCCCAGACACCCAAGGCCCCCCTCAGCCGGGGCTCCGGCCGGCCCCCTGAAGTCCCCTGGGCCGGGCCTAATACCTAAGGCTCCTCATTTTGCAAGGACAGATTCCATCTCCACCCCCATAACGTGCCACTGGTAAGAGACCACGGTCCGTGGCTTTCGTCACCGTGTAGCTGTGGTTCTGTCTTGGTGTTCGCTACCATCATGAACCTCTTACTGCGCCTGACTTATGAATCAGACTCTTCCCTTTCTGCAGAGCTAGGACTTGAACCCCCCCCCCCCTCGCCCAGCGGGCTCTGGAAGTGGCCGGCTGGGGGCTGGGGGCTCCGCCAGCTCCGTTTCCCGCCTGTGATTGAAAGCTGGCTGCAGCCTCCAGGGCCCGCGGCCCCTCCACACCTGCCCTGGGTAGGGAGGAGGGGAGGTCATTGCCTGCAGCTGCGATGCCTGGCCCGAGCCAGCCCCAGCACGGGGGATCCCAAAGGAAAAAGGACCAGAGCCTGGGCCCCTGCCACCCGCCCTTCTCACCCCAGCTCCTCCGAGGGCGCCCTTGGGCTCGGGCTGGCCCGGAGAGGTCATCTTCAAGCTGTGGCTCCCAGGAATTTAGCCAGAGATTCTAGAAGGAGCAAGGAGAAGCCAGGTCCTGAGGGCAGAAGGCAGAGTCGGGACAGGTCAGAGCCACCCAGCCCCGCGCCTTCCCCACGTCCAGTGCCTCTGGCTCCCCTGATTAAGGGTGACCCCCGCCCCAGTGCGGGAGAGAAGGCGGACTGTCAGGGATGGGGGAGCCCAGGGAGGTGGCCGAACTGAGCCAAGGCTTGGAAACAACTTTCTAAAGCGCAAGAGAAGGTCCCGGAAAGGGTTTTGAAGGCTGAGTAGGAGTCCGCCAGGTGCCTCAGGCGGACTTATCAGCTGGGGACAGGGACGTCCAGGCTCCCACCGCTTCAGCGGCAGTGGCGTCCCCCAGCGCCCCTCCAGCCCTCCCCGCGCGGGAACCCCAGCCTCCTCCGGAAGCGGCTGCCCACGCACGCACCTCCCGGGGGTGCGGAGGGCGGCGGGCAGAGCGGAAGCTGCAGGGGTCAGCCAAGTTCAGGCCCAGGAAGCGCCGCCTCCCGCGTCGCGCCTTTTGACCCCGCGCCCCCGCCCCGCCCCTCCTCGGGGAGCAGCCGCAGCTGCACKTGGGCTCGGGCTCATCCCGCGGCGCCCCGAGGCGCTGGCCAATCACGAGGCCGCTTGCCCACGTGGGCTGCGCGCTCCGTCGCCGATTGGCCGCTCCGCTCGGGCCGTGGACCGGGCTGTCACTCAGTGAACCGCCGGCTCGGCTTAACCCTCGCCGTCCCGCTGGCCAGAAGGGCGGCGAGCGGGGCGCAGCAGGCAGTGAGGGGTCCCGGAGCACCGGCCTTTAGGGGGACATAGGGTGTGAGGATCCGAGCGTGGCGCTTGGACAGGGGCTGGGTGACAACAGTGCAGTGTGACTGGTCTGATATTCTTAGCTTTGTCCAAGAGTGACATCAGTTGGGGACCGGGAGGGTAGGACCTTTAGCATTTTCCCCCAGTCCTTAGATCCAGCCAGTTAAGTTTCTGTCAGTACTGAATAACGTGTGATAAATGGCCTTCACGTCCCCTTCCCAGAGAGAACCAAGCCTCCCCCAGCCCCAGCTCCTGTGAGCCAGGCTGCATTTTATCAGGAGATTCCCTGCTGCCCTCCCCGTGGGCAAGGATCCAGTGCCCGTGGCTGGAACAGCCCAAGGCCTGAGGCTGGTGCACAACAGCCAAGTTCAAGACCAGGTGGGRAAGCGTGGGTAGTGTGTGAACCTCCTGAGCAGGGAGCTTGCTAGAGAAGTAGGGAGGCCAGGAGGGCACTGCGTGGGGCCAGAGAGAGGCCTGCCAGGACTTCAGAGAGAAAGGAGGGAGGCTGGGGGCTGGGTGCAAGGCCTCCTGGGTGGGTGTGGGTGTGTGTCTGTCTGTGGATGGGATCCTGTAGTAGGAGGATCCAAGAGTCGTGCTGTGGCTCCAATTCCAAACATGAAGTGCTCTGTGCAGAGTTCTGGGGTGAGAGGCTGTGTCGGCAGCTCTGCTGTCTGTGCTGTGGAGCTGGGGGCGCAGCCCCCCACCCWCCAGGCTCTGGTGTCAGCACAGGACGACTTGGTCTGCCCGGCTTGGGAGGAGGAGGTGTGGCCACGGGCAGGCTCCGCCCACTATCCTACAACAGGCCCGTTTTGTTCAGGATCCAGCCTGCTGGTGGCTCCCTCTCTGCCTTGCTCTTCCCTGGGGTCCCTGGCTCTGGACATCGCGTCTTGGGCACATCTGTTTTTCCAAGACTGTGTTGTTTCCTGTGTTGTCCCCTAAGCAGTGGCTAGTTCAATTTAAGCGAATTAAAATTAAAATGTGCCAGGCTCGGTGGTGCATGCCTGTCATCTCAGTGACTCTGGAGGCTGAGGCATGAGGATGGCAAGTCGGAGGACAGTCTGTCTTAGTGAGGTCCTGTCTCAAAATCAAAAATTACAAGGGCTGGGGGTGTGGCTCAGGGCTAGAGCCTTGCTCAGTCCCTGGGCTGCATCCCCAGCACCTCCGTGGGTAAATACGATATAAGATCCCGGATCCCAGGTGCTCCAGCTGCAATCCAATGCCCAACAGCCACYGTGTCAGGGGCTCTCCTCCTGACAGCAAAGATCTAGAACATCGGGGCCAGGCTAGGCTCAGGGGCAGAGTGCTTGCCTAGCAAGTGTGAGGCACTGGGCTCGACCCTCAGCACCACATAAAGAAATAAAGGTGTTGTGTCCATCTACAACTAAAGAAAAAAAAAAGATCTAGAACATTCCATCACAAAGGATCAAAGCACTGGACATGGATCCGGGGTTCTTTAAGTAGAGTTCCTGTGTCCTGTGGGAGAGGAAGCATTTTAAATGGCCACTCTCTGGGGATGTGGCTCAAGCGGTAGCGTGCTCGCCTGGCATGCGTGCGGCCTGGGTTCGATCCTCAGCACCACATACAGACAAAGATGTTGTGTCCGCCGAAAATTAAATGGCCACTCTGCTGTCCTATTTGAAACCCTGTGGGGGCTGGGATGACAGCAGTGTCCTCCGGCCACTCTGAGTGGCCTCACTTGGCCCTGGGGAGGAGATGGGAAAGGAGGAGGCAAGGGTGCCCCCTTGCTGGCCGCTCCGAGCTAAGGTTTGCTCAAGGTCCGTAGGACAGTTTGAAAGAGCCATTCACATTCTAAAAGCTTCAGAATTTTTGCTTAAAATAAATAAATAAATAAATACACTCTGAGCTCAGGGACACAGCGCGGGGCTAGCGCCAGTGAGGCCGCGTCCACCCCAGTGGCACCAACACGGAGGTCCGGCCCAGGGTGAGGACAGCAGCACCAGGCCTGGCTGGGAAGAGCTGCCCGGGTCTTCC